GCTGCTGCTGCTGCTGCTGCTGCTTGTTGCGACGAGGAAGCGTGCGGCGCGTGCAGGAATAAAGGGAGGGAAAAGTACTCGGAAAGGGCAGATGGGATGGCAGCGCGTGGCGATGACAACGATTGACGGCGACGATGAAGAGGGAAGGGGACAAGTGGGCGAGGTCAAAGGCGGGGTGACGGTGACGGTGATGAGTGGACTCGGGAAGCGCCCGACTTTTGGCGGTGGTGGAGCTCTGAGTCGGATTCGAAATGCAGCTTTGCGGAGGCCATGTGAATCAGACGCTCGAGCGCAGCATGCGTGTGGGACTGTCGCCCGCCAGGCGCAACAGGTTCGAGGCGAGTTGCGGGGCCCGAAAGGCCACACGGTCGAAGCGAGCGCAGACGTGCAGCTCAAGCAGTTGCTGCCTGCAGCCGCCTGCTGGAATCGACGCTCGGCCTCGCGTCCAGAGGCAGACTCTAATTTTGCGAGCCCGAATCAATGAAAGATGACTGACAGATGCATGGGCGGCAGCGGCGGCGGCAAGCCCGACATCCCCAGATTCGAGGGTCTAGCAAGACAAAGGAAGAGCAACAACACTCGCTGCTCAGCACGCTCCTGTCTCGCGGGCCACACTCACGCGCCAAGCCCCTCTGGCTGCTGCCCGCGAAAATCAAAATCTGGGGTCGCCTAGAGCCGTCCGCTGCACGGAAGCGGGCCTGCGCAGCGCGTTTTTTCCCACCTCGACCTTGTTGGCGTTCGGAATCTGTTCCAGCTGCTGGCTGCTGCTGCTGCAGCCGCTGGGTCGCGTTCCAAGCAGCCTAGATCCAGTGGCACGCTAAGCGCCTCCGGGGAAAAAATCCTCGCAGACAGGGCTGAGACACATCCAAGCCAGATCCACAGAATGTGCATCGCGAGCATCCCACTGCAAGCCGGTGACAGTCCAGCACAATCACACACACACAGAGAGGGGAGAATGGAAAGAGAGAATGCGAGAGCAGGCTTTTGCGCGCTTTTGCCGGTTGCGATAAAGACAAAGAGGGCGAGACGGGACGGGCCAGCAGATTTGGGCACAACCAGCGTTCCCGCTCTTGTGGGATCACACCTGCCTGCCTTGTTCCCACGGACGCCTCGTCGATCTGCAGGCAGCGCTGGTCAGAGGTGGCGTTGCCCTCCATCGGAACGCGGCTGCCTCTTTGGCAAGACACTCCCGCAGGGTCTACGGAGTCCAGCTCACCGACTCGCTGTCCCTGCCGAGCCGCGAATGCAGCCACTGCGGGCGGGCTTTTACTTTGCAGAGGGTTGCCGCATCGAAGGATGCCTTCCGAACCTCAGCTCTGACCGACGCTCCATCAAGCCCGAGGCAATGCCAAGGTGCTCATATGCTGGTCATCCACCCTCAAATGAAGAAAAGAAGCCATCTATGTTATGATTCAAATCATGACCGGCAAGACATACAGACTGTAGACTGTAGACTGTCGGGCCGGCAGCATCGTTAGCGACATCGACTAGTGCTGCAGCTCGACCGGCTTGCCCGGCGACCACTCCCTTGCTGCCTTTTCGATGTTGGTCCAGTACCTGAGCTGGACGGCAGCCTCTCTGGCCGAAGCCAGATCTGGCGGCGAGGCGGCAAACGCTTGGGCGAGCGTATCGACGGCTGCGTCCAGCAGACGTGCGTTGTCGGCGCGCACCTCGGCGGCCTCTGCCTCGCTCTCGGCCTCTTCGAGTCGCTCGCGCAGCTCCATGACCTCCATCAGCAGCTCCGGGTCCTCGAGCGAGTCCGACTCCGAGACCTCGGGCGCCTTGTAGCGTTCCAGAAGGTAGTGAGCGCGCGGCAGGGGGTTGAGCAGCGTCTCGTACGCGCGATTGATGAGCGCGCTCTGCTGAGCACCGATCTGCTGCTCTTTGTCGGTGCGTCCCACCATGCGGTCCGGGTGGGTGACGGCCATTTTGAGCCGCCAGGCACGCTTGAGTGCCGCAGTGTCCACTTCCCAGCCTCCCTTGGGGATCGATCCAAAGTCGAGGTCCATGGCCTTGTAGTAGTCGATGTCGGAGGGCAAGGGTTGCAGCGTGTTGCACGCCGGACACGACAGCGATTCGAGCGCTTGCGCCTCACCACAGCTCGGGCACGACTTGAGCGGGCTAGCACCCGACGACGCAGTGCTGTATGCCCGTCGAGTCATGGCTGAGAGGCCGATCCTGTGGCTGTGCGCAAAGCTGGACACAGATGGCGGGAATACTCGGTCGATGATGGCTGCTGTTGTGGATGCTGAGAGAGATCGCGAAAGCATGCGCGATTGTAGCATCGGGCGAGATGCGCTGCAAGCTGCTCGTCGCAGCACAGCCCTGCTGGCTGAAAGCGACGCCATCCTGTGCAAAGCGATATGTTCTTTAAAAGAAGAGCTTGTAGAGCAGCCAGAGACCGACGAATCCACCGACGATGTAGAGCGTCAGGCGATGCTGTCTCGCGCCGTTGACGATGCTCCTAGAGAAGTGGTTCGAGGTGCGTGTGAGCTGATTGGAAAAGCTGTCGAACTGGTCCGAAGTCTGGGCCAAGAGTCCGGCGCGCTGGCTCTCCGAGTCGTTGTGGATGTCGATGGTCACCGAACGGAGAGAGGAGACCTTGGAGTAGAGCGCGTCGAGTGCCGAGTCGTTCTGCTGCTCGTACGTGCGATCGGCCGAGGTGGACATCTAGCCTTGCGTTGCTCTGCTGAATGCTGCACCTGCGCTAGCGTGTGGTATGATGGTGAAAGAGCGAAGAGTAGCTTTGGCCAAGTTGAATCCGAGAGGGAAGATCAGGATGGAAGATGTGTGGCTCGGGAAGGGCAGGTGCGGCCGGCGAGGTGGAGGTTTATTCTATCGGCACACGCACCGGGCTGCCTTTGCATGCCGCGACGGCTGGGCGAGCTTTGGATTCGGGTGTAAAACGATCGCAATCGAAATCGGCCATTCTAGACGGCACAAATTGCCCGATCTGATCGTCCTCCGACATCTTCTGATTTTCGGAAGGCGCTGGGAAAGTCTTGCATTTTGCTCGCAGTCACCTTCGGAAGAGCCCGCCTCGTCGAGCATCTCTCCATCACCATCTCGACTCGATCCGGTACCGTGGTCGAAGCTCTATTCTTGCCACTCACACCACGCTTCCGACATGTGGTCGTCTCTCACAGCATCCTTCAGCAAGCTCGGCCTGCGCAATGCGGCCGTTGCAGGACCTTCTGTCGCCTCGGCGGTCCGCTCGCTTCACATGACCTCGGCCGCTCGTCCCTCGCTGCACACCACACCTGCCTCGCCTACATCTCAGCTGGGCGGTGCTCGTCACAAGTCGAATCTCGCACCCCGCAGGACGAAGTACCGCAAGGCGCACAAGATCACCATCCCCTTCAACACTGGCGGCTCGACCAAGGGCACCACGGTGCAGGAGGGCGTGTACGGCATTCGTCTGCTCGCCCCCGCGCGTCTGTCGGCAAAGCAGCTCGTTGCAGCCGAGACTGCGCTCAAGCGAAAGCTCAAGGTGGTCAAGGGTGCACAGGTGTTCCTGCGCGTGTTCCCAGATATCCCTGTCTGCATCAAGGGCAACGAGACACGTATGGGTAAGGGCAAGGGCAGCTTCGAGTACTGGGCCTGCCGTGCCAACATGGGCAAGGTCATCTTTGAGATCGGCGGACCCGTCGAGATCCGTCCCGAGGTCGCCAAGGAGGCCCTCCGTCTCGCATCTGCCAAGCTGCCCGTGCCCACCGAGTTTGTGACCACTGCGTCGGCTCCCCGCCTCGGCAACAAGGTGCTTCAGCCCGCAGCCGCCTCGTCTGCAACTGGTGGCCCCGATTCGACACCCGCGTCGACCTCGTCGTGACCGAAGACTAAATCTCGATAGAAAGCTCGCGCTCTGTACTATAGTTGCCTTGACCCAAAACAGCATACTTTTCTCCTAGCACAGACGTTACAATCATGAAAGAGGTCTGGTTGAATTACAGCTCGACATGCTCGACAGGAAGAGTGTTTGCCCTGGTCATGGGCAAGTCGCGGTGGCCATGTGTTTGGTCGTCGGGCATGACAGCGTCAACAAGGTCTTGAAGGTCGTCTTGAATGTCGATGGGCTTCTCCCGCACCGCTTGTTGCGCTTTGGACGTGGATGCAGCCGCGGCCAATGCTACGACGGACGAGACTGCAGTTGCGACGGACACTGCTGCCGATGCGACTGTCTGTGTGCTGGTGACCGACTGAGCGGCTTGTTTCAAGAGCTCTGCCTTTTGCTGCAGATCTTGCGGGCTCCGGCTGGCGGTGCCGCCTAGGAGTCGGTTGAGGCCAAAGAGGCGGAAGATGAAGCCGAGCAGACCGATTCCCTTGCTGATGAGGCGCACGTACACAATGTAGCCTACACAGGCAAGGAAGAAGAGGAACGAGGCGGCGACCATGCCCTTACCGATGAGGTCTTCACGCTCCATGGTCTTGATCATTGTGACGGAATTCGTCATGAGCGTGGTGAGCGAACCATACTGAAAGGATAGGCTCGAGATGGTTTGCGACGACTCCTCGAGCAGTTGAGACGACATGGCCGACTTTTCGAGTTCGGACGACATGAGCGCGACGGTACGGCGTAGCGCATCGGTGACATCCTGCGAGGCGGTCATGAGCTTGTCTTCGCCGCTAGAGCCTCCGCCGCGGCCACCGGTGCGCTCCTTGGCACTGTCGGCTGCAAGCTGAAGCCCAGCGCGAGCTTCTTCCGATCGGGCATTGTCGATGCTGCGACGAGCGGCTAGCAAGGCTTTGCGGACCGACTGTCGGATCTCATCCAGCTGCTGGCTGGATGCAGAAGCTAGCGCTTGGAGTTCGCGACGTTCCGCGCCGGACTCTGCTTCGTCGACTGCGAACTTGAGGTCGTTGACTTGGCGCTTGAGACCGTCTATGGAAGAGATTACCTCGGCCTCGTAGTCGGCTAGCAGAGTGAGCTGCGTGCACGATTGCAGACGCGGAATCTGGTGCTCAATTACATCCCGACTGTATCGCTGGAACGAGTCGTGAACCGCAAGAAGGTCGGCGGGTACGGCTGAGCGGGATCCCGAAGACATGGCAGCTGCCGAAGAGGAAGCCATGACGTGGCTGTCGAGATGTCGATGCTCGCGCTTGGCTCGGGAGTGCCTTGTCGGGTCCGCGCCGGTGGATGCAATCCGAACGATGCACGAACGCTGCGGCAGCCGAGTCGAAGTGGATGCAGATGGTCGGTCGGGTTTGAGCCGACGTTGGTGGGTTGATTGAATTCGTGTGACTTTCTCAAAAGTGAGCGTGGCCCGTGTGGGATCGGAATCGTGAGCGGCAGTCGGAGATTCGGAATTGTTGGTGTTTCGGTCTTTCGCCCCAGAAGCAGCAACAGCAGGAAGCGCCAGCCTCACATGCAGTGGGCGTGCCTTGCAGCTCAACACGGCGTTTCAGGAGACCCTCGTGGAGCGGCCCTTCCGAGCCGGCACTCGAACATTCGAGTCGACCACCATCTGACACTCCACGACCGTTCGCCTTGTTTCTTGTCACTCGAGAGATCACACTTGGCTTCCTTGCAAGCGGCATCTCGGATCGATTCCGCACCAAGCTGGCTCAAGACGCAGAGGCCTGGCTGTCTCGGCGTCTTCGATTGTCACTCCTGGCTCATAGACACGACGTGCAAGTGATCAGGTTGTACTGGGATGGACGAGAGGCGCTAAGGAAAGAGCACCCTGAGCTTCTCCAAGCCGTTCCGTCAGCAGCGCCTGGGTCTGCGATCCGCATCTCTGCCCAAAGCTGCTCGCTGCCCCCCCTCGGCTCTTCCGCGGCACCATGTCGGGCAACATCTTCCGAGACAGCTATGCAGGCCAAGAGCCGCACGAGCAGCAGAACGACGCGGCTCAAGCTCCAGCCAATCGCCCCAAGAAGAAGAGCTTCATGAACCTCCCCGGTGGAGGCAAGGCCATCTTTGCCTTTTCACTCAGCCTCTTCGCCTATACGCTGCAGACCGAGTTTGCGCAGTACGTGCAGCAGGCGCTCAACTACCGCAAGCCCTTCCTTTCGCTCTACCTCGGCCACAGCGGATTCCTCCTGCTCTTTCCCATGCACCTCTTCTTTCTCAAGTGGACCACCAAGCGCCCCATCACGCACTACCTCCATCTCATCGCACAGAATTTGCGATGGCAGCTCGACACGGCGCCGTCCTCTCTACCGGACCCGCGGGCCGATGAGGTGCGCCGCAGACTCAGCCGCGCGTCCGGCAGGGGTAGTCAAGCCTTCAGCGATGCCGACCATGCCGAGCAGGGTGGCATGATCCGCCGCAAGATCTCCTTCCTCGAAGAAACGTTTGGCTTCAACGTCCTTCGTCTCGCCGGTCTTTTCGTCGTGCTCACCATCGGCATCACAATTCCGGCGCTTAGCTGGTACTGCGCAGTACCCATGACCTCGATGGCCGACATCACCGCCATCTACAACACCTTCTCCGTATGGGCGCTCGTCTTTTCCGTGTGGTTCCTCGGCGAGAAGTGGGAGAAGCGCAAGGTGTTCTCCGTGCTGCTTGCCTGCTTTGGTGTCATCATCGTCGCCTACGGAGGCGCGGATCACCGCAAAGTTCCAAAGCCCGTCGATCCGGTGCATGGCAAGCCGCCTGCAGACACAGACGCCGCCGTGCGGCTCGTGTACCGCTCCGTCACTGCGGCGGTGTCACGCGTCTTCACTCGCCGCGAAGCTCCGGCAGATGCCCCGGTCAGTAGCGCGCACAATCCTGTGTTGGGAGACCTGCTGGCTTTCGTCGGGGCCGTGACCATGGCGGCCTACGAAATGGCATTCAAGCTGATCGGCACACTGCCGGATGAGAACAAGCAAGCAGAGATGTACTCGGCCGTTCCCGGCGGACGCAATCGCCGCTCGCGCAGCTACGTCCGATATCAGGACTCGGAGCAAGACGACAGCCGGACCGATTACGAGACCGAGGGGCTTTTGCGCTGGTCGCAGTCCGAGGCACGCGCGACGGACGGCGATGCACGTGCACTTCACGCCGGCAACGGCGACGGTGCCCATCACATCCTCGGCGATGACGAGCAAGACGTCACCGAGACCGCCAAGAAGCACGAGCTGGACGAACGGCGGTCTCTGTCCACGCTGGCAGATAAACTTATTGGCCAGGAGCGCCCGGACTATCAGAGCATCACGCCGCCGCCGGAGCCATCGAATACCTATCCAGAAGAAGACGCCAGCAAGATCGCCAAAGAAGCCGCTGACAGGGTGCGAGTGCATGCCAAGGCGGTGCCGATCAGCGAAGCCAAACGCCGTGACGACGACGAAGATAGCCAGGTCACCGAGTCGGAGCTGGACGAGGAGGAAGAGGAGCTCGTGCTTGCCGGCGCCACGCGCTTGCATCGCACGCGCTCCCATGTCTCGACCCACCATCTCGCCGACGCGTCGTACGCAGACGGCGACGAGAGCTCGCACGATGTCTCCGCCGCGCGGATCTCCACCGACGCGATGCGGCCGGGTGTGAGCCGCCGGAGCTCGACGTATCGCAAAGTCCACGACCCATCCATCCCGCCGCCGCTTCCGTTTGGTCTTCATGCCAACGTCATGACCGCGGGCATTGGACTCACCACGTTCACTACGTTCTGGATCGGCATCGTCCTGGCGCACCAGCTTGGGTGGGAGACGTTTGAGCTGCCGCACAATCTGCGCACCTACGTCTCGATCGCCATGGTGGTGTGGTGCGGCATCTTCTTCAATGCGGCGTTTATGATCCTGCTCTCGCTGTGGGGACCTGTGCTGGCGTCGGTCAGCTGCCTCATGACCACGATCCTGGTCGAGATCGCCGATGTGCTGCTCGGACACCGGCTCAAGTGGATCAGCGTGCTCGGATGCACGCTCATCGGCGCCGGATTTGCCGTGCTCGTGGGCGGAGGCTCGATCCACTAGCTGCACTTGGCGGAGGGGGCGCGGGTCGGCAAAAGCCGGCCGCCTTGACCCTGCTGGGATCATGAGCGATGCGCAAGTGTGCATGTACGCTCGGATCCGCTATCCTGTCCTGGCCCGCGGCCAACACTTTCGGTCTGCAGGCTGAGCCAATTGTACGTTTAGAGCGAGCATTTAGTGCACTGACCTGCACGTGGGATCATGCCTTCTAGCAAGGAATTCTTTGGACCCAAGGGGGCTTTGTTTGTGGAACGAGTGACGCTTTGGCCGCTTGTCGTGCATGGCTGGACTGCGCGTGGACACATCGGGTGCAGCGCGTGCATGTGCATCGCCTTGCGTCGCACATGGATCGCGGCCGGTGACAAAATTTACCGCAACCCCACAAAGCCTTGTGCTCCAAAAAGCTTGCCAACTGTTGGGCATACAGTATTCGCACGGTGCTTTCGGTGATTTGCTCATGGCGAGGTGGAGTTGAAAGGGAGGCAGCAAATTCTCACGACGAGTCAATGCTTTCTTGCGTAGCCAGTGGTGAGGTGGGCTTTACGGAGGGTCTTCGGAGGAGCGGGCGGCGTGGGAAGATGAAGTATCGCCGGTTGAATGCATTGTGCTTGGACGCCTTCCGCACAGCCTAGAACACCTTTGTCCCTTCTGAGCTGCAGCATTCATGAGCTTTGCCGACCGCTCGGTTTCGGCTCAGGCCGAGTGCTGACCTTTTTGCTTGGCCAAGGTTGGCGCTCGGTGCCTGCAGGCTCGCCCCTGAGCCATGAAGCCTCGCCTACTTTATAAAAGCACCGCCTGCTCATACCGTCCTCCCCCCTTCACCCACAATCCATACCACCTCGCCTCTGTGGTTTCCACCTCTCTTCACCGTGTTCATATCCGAGGAAACTCTTCCCCTTCCCCTATTTTCTTGCTGAGCAAGACCTCTTTCTCTCTCTCTTTACTTTCGTACGTCGTCATGAGGATCAGTGTTCGGGCGATTGCGTCGCTGGTCTTGATCGCGCTGGCCGCGGTGTCGAATGCCGAGGAGGAGCACCATCGCAAGCACCACAAGCATCACAAGAAGCATCATCATCACGAGGCTGCCAACACGAGCGTGGAGCCACGTGGATCCGGCTCGAACGGTCACGCCCTCGGTCTTCCATGGGGTTGCGATCCATCATGCATCAACGGCGTCAAGTCGACCAAGAATACCGACTTTCGATGGTACCACCACTGGCAGGACACTCGTGTTGCCGATCTGGACAAGCTGGGTTTTGAGTACGTGGCGACATTTTGGGGTCCGACCAAGTGGGATAAGTGGAACGCGGTCAAGGCGGAGCTCTCTCGTGGACCACTGCCCAAGTACATGCTGGCGTTCAACGAGCCCGACGTGCAGGGGCAGTCGGACCTGGGACCCAAGGCGGCGGCCAAACTGTGGATGAAGGAGATGCAGCCGTGGGCGAACAAGGGTGTCAAGGTAGGGTCGCCGCAGGTGTGCTGGAACATGCAGTGGCTCGAGCAATTCATGGGCGAGTGCAAGAAGCTCGGATGCAAGATCTCGTTCATCGCGCTGCACTGGTACGGTTCGTGGCGCGAGTTTGACAAGTTTACGCACTGGATCGAGTCGGTGCACAACGAGTTTGGCCTGGATATCTGGATCACCGAGTACGGCATTACGCAGGCCAGTGGTGGATCGCAGGCGGACATCAAGAACTTCCACATCCGCGCGGTCAAGTGGATGCGTCAACAGGGCTATGTGAAGCGATCGGCTTGGCTCGGTGGCTTCCCCGTCGACCAGAAGCCCGATCCGTACCCGAACAGCCTCAACAGCTACTTCAATGCCGATGGCTCCGCGCGCGATCTGTTCTGGTGGGCGGCTCACAATGCCGGCGGGCCGATGATCAGCTTGCACGGCCTCTCGAAGCGCGACGAGAAGGAGCGTGAGGACGATAAGCCAAAGCACGAGATCGAGCAGTACGACGAGGAACACTGCGACTACAAGTGCCAGCTGCGCGAAAACTCGATCGAGAAGCACCAGCGCAGGAAAAAGGGCATCGTCCAAGTCGACGACAAGCACGTCTGCATCGCCACGCCCTCCAAGCTCGACCGGGACGAACGCAAGAAGCTCGCCGTGTGTCTCAAGCAGGTCGGCCTCCTCCAGCCCAGTTCGCACTCCTAGTTCGTCTCGACTGTTTGCTTTCGTCTTCATGCGCTCGATGCTGTGCATCGCGCTTTCTGTTCGTTCGTTCTGGCAAATGCTGCTTTTGATTTTTCAGTGTCGTGCCCGTGTGCCGGTGAGGTCGTTGGAGTAGAAACAGATGCACTGGCGGTCGAGCCAGGTTCGAAGCTCTTCTTTGCGCTTGCCCGTGTCCATGGCGATGCCGTGGGTGGTCGCCATGCTCACCACCTCGTCAAAGCTGATGGGTTCGAAGCGAAGTACGCGCGCCCACACGTCGGGTTCGCCTCGCATCGCAGCCGTCATGATCTCGGCCAGCACAGGCGACGGGTCGACCGCCTCCCCGTCACCCTCCTCATCTGCTTGGCGTGTGGCTAGCGGGATATCTTCGGACGACGAGCTTCTGGCCGAAGCTGACCGCCTGCTTCTCTGCTTCACGGGCGACGCTGAGGCCGAGAGTGGGACGTCCGAGTCTGCAGAGTCGCTGCTGCCGTCGGTGGCCGAAAGCGCCTCGCGCTCCAACTGCGCCGTCAGATCACCTGGCTCGTCCGCAACGCCTTGCTCCCCGCTCGGCTCGGGCTGTGACGAAGGCGCAGAGTCCGAGCTCGCATCCAGCACAAACGGATCGCTCTTCCGACCCCTTCCCTTTCCCTTTCCCTTGCCACCTGCACCCGATTCGGCGTACGTAGGCAAGATGAGCTTTCGTTTTCTCGCGGGCTCCGGTGGCGGCGTTCCGTCTTGCACCGCATCGCCATCTGCAGGCAGAGGATGTTGCGGGGGCTCAAATGCAGCGTCGGAACGCTCTAGCGCAGCGTATACCGCCTTGAGCTGGTCTATGAGCGTAGCACGCTTACGCGATACCTTGAAGCCGTACCGCTTGACTTCGGCTTGCAGCGCGTCGGTACGCCATTCTTCAAAGTACGGCGTCGGCACGAAGGCCTTGGAGCTCGAAGCGCGCGTAGAGACCAGGCTCGGGCTCGAGGTGGATGGGACGCTGGATGCGCTGAGCCGGCCCGAGCGTCTCGACATGTCAGCGAGGTGGAGGAAGCGGAGCGGAGTCGGATGCAGCCATGTCGCCTGCGCGGGCTGGATGGTGCGCGAGAGGGCGCGAATCATGCGCGGTTGCGCTGAATATCCGGAGGCGAGTTTATGCGAGCTGATGCGGCATCTTTGGCGCGAGGATGGTCAGCTTCGGCATGCGGTCGAATGGTGGAAAGAGCGAGGAGTGTGAGTGGAAGGATGAAAGGAGGGAGGGCTCTCAGATGGTCAAGTGGAGGGATTTGGTCCGAGTTCCGAGGCTTTGGTTTGGCAGGGTCCATTGGTTGCCGCATCTTCCTTGACTTGCTGCCACCTCTTCTCCCACTTGTTGCCTGGATTAGGCCCAGCGTCTCAAAGATGTCGAGCCACCTCGCGCCATCGACGAATGGCAAGTCGTCAGCTTTATCAACAAGTCCGTCGCATTCACAAGCACCGTCAAGCTCAAGCCAGTCGCATTCACACTCGCATTCGCATTCGCACTCGCACCACCATCACACTCCACACGCCATCCCAACCGCGGCGCTCGTTGAACCGCCTGCGCTGTTCGCCAGCGTTGCACCGCAGATCTATCGCTCAGCCACACCGGCCGCCGCCAACCACTCGTTCGTACGCACGCTCAAGCTGCGCACCATCCTCTCGCTCACCGCCGAACTGCCCTCGCCCAGCCTCACTGCCTTCTGCAAGAAACACGGCATCCGTCTGCTCCACTTTGGCCTGCGTCGATGGGGGTCCCAAGACATCTCTGCGCGCGACAAGCATCTTGCTGCCGAGGAGAATGGTGAAGAAACAGGTCTGGATCTGTCGTTCTTACACTCATTCAAGGCACCATCGACCCCAAGCCTCGCACAGTACGAAACTGCCTCGCCTACAATCACGGAAGAGCTGGTCAAAGACTCTCTCCAAATCCTCCTCACTGCAAGCTATCATCCGATACTGGTAACCGACACTTCAGGGATCCACGAGATAGGCGTCCTTCTAGGGTGCCTGAGGAAGCTCCAGAGATGGAACTTCGCAACGATCCTACTCGAGTATCGCCACTTTGCAGGCAACAGGGCGAGAGCTACAAACGAACGCTTCGTCGAGATGTTCGATACAGACCTCATCACTTTCCCGGACCACGACCAGCTGCCGTATTGGTTCAGAGAGCAGATTCAAGCCGACGACGACGAGCTCGACAGCATCGATCCGTGTTCCTAGATCACACTTCCGCCTCGAACTGCAATATACCCTCCGCATCTTAAAGCCGCGTGCACGTGCGTGGGACACAATGAGTTGGTCATTCAGAAAGGCAGTGCAAGCGGCATGTTGGCAAACGGCAGTGCCGGTCGCGTGCCAAGCCCATGCGGTTCTGGCGAAGCCTTGATGACGCTGCTGACCATGTTGACGGCTGGCATCTTCTCGAGCGCCTCGCGATTGCTCTTCTCCTCGTCCAGCATGGCTTCGATCTCGTCCTTGACGGTGCGGAGCCACTTGAGGTACTCCTCCACCGCCTCCTTGGCGCCGCCGTTGAGCAGCTCGTCAAAGTACTCCCACGTGTCGTCGTCGGGGCCGAAGCCCTTCCAGCGCACCAGGCACTTGGACTGCGTGGGCGTCATGGCGACAATGTGCGACACCTCGTACACATCCTCGCTGCGATCAAGGGGGGGTGGACGCTCGTACTCCTCGGGCGCACGCGGCACGAGCCACTTGGCCGGCAACTCTCCCGTCACCGCGTTGCCCGTCGGCACGAAGCTCTTGACTTTCTCCTGCCCCGACGTCTTGGAGCCGTTGCTGCGGATGCGCTCAAAGTCGAGCCCGTCGAGCCCGTCTTCGTCCTCCTGCTTGATGCCGCGCGCTGGAGATGCAGCCGCAGGCGTGGCACGAGCAGCTCCACGTCCGCGCCGCCCGCGCTTGGATCCGCGCACGTTGCGGGCTGGCGCCTCCATGCGCCCTCGGGCGCGGCGGTACTTGAACACCTCGCACAACGTGTGCTCGATGTCTACGACGTTGAGGCCCGGCTTGCGCGCAGGACACAGATGCGGCACGTCGGTGATGCCGTACTTGCCCCAGTAGTGCTCCTGCTCTTTCTGGATCCAGCGCATTGCTTCCAGCTCAAAGCCCGAGACATACTTGCCGAAGATGTCCACAAGACACTGCTTGGAGCCGGGCCCGCACGCTGCAAACTCCTCCTCGCTAAAGTCAAAGTGGTCGGAGAGATTGAGATCGAGCAGAAGCCTGAGAGCACCATGGGAGAGAAGATTGTCAGTTAGAAATGGAACTGAACGGAAGAGCAACTCATTTGGGCACTACTTACTGCATGGCGAGGAAGGGTCCTAAGCTCGGGAACGATGTCAGCAGTGCATGGGCATCGCGCATGTGGTGCAAGTCTGCGAGTCGCCTAGGCAGCCCTGTGCGCATCATAAGATGGACGAGGCGTAGTGTCGACTGATATGGGTACTTTGTCCTAAACTCTCTCGGCGCTGGGATGAAGTACGAACTGCCATAGACGGGGTTACCAGCGCTGATGTGGGGCATGAGGAAGTTTTCGTAGGCCGTAGGCGAGAAGCTGGCCAGTGTTGGAGGCCCTCCAAGAGCAGTGCGAATGACCTCGTAGGTACTGATGCGCGCGAACGAGCGGAAGAGGAGCACACGAAAGCAGACCTCTTCGAGCTGCTGCGGGCCGTCCTGCACGACGCGCGTGAGCACGTACTGCGTCAAACGGTCGAGCACGCGATAGACATTGGCGAACTTGGTGGACTTGAACACGGGATCGTCGGTCCACTCTTCCTGCGGTTTGCCCTGTTTGCGTTTGAGAAAGACGTCGTGCCGATCGTGCGAGTACTGGAAGAACGTCCTGAGCACTTCCTCGTTGAGCGGAAGCACGAGCCCGGGTAGAATGGTAACCTCGTTGGCGTCAGGAGATGGTAAATCTGACTTCGTGACTTGGGTGGAGATTGGCAGTCGCGGACGCTTTTGCGCACCCTTTTCGGATGAGAGCATGTTGGCAGAGCTCGAAGCGGCCTCGAGGTGCGACGAGGAGGGCACGGGCGACTGATGATCATCGTCGTGGTGCGCGCGCTTGAGAGACGGCTCGGCGGTTGCGGTCGGATCCGTCATGCTTTGCGTGGGAGACGTGCTGTCCCGATCCATTCTGCCTGACCTTGGGTCCTGGCTTGGTCTGATGGCGCGTGACGAAAGGGAGAGGGAAGCCAGAAGAAGGTTGCGCTGCGCAAGATGAGCATAAATTGGCCAACGCTCGGATCAAGGCGCGGCGGCGGGGGAATTTGGACCCTGACTGCTCTGCGCTCTGCCAGCCTCGGGACCCGGCCAGCATCTTCGGCGCTCCTCCGACGCGGGGCGTGTGATTTCCTGAGCACGATCCTCCACCTCTTCTTCTTGCCTTTTCCCCAAAAAACCGGCTTCTTGCCGACCATCTTTCACAAATCCCTCTGCGCCCTGCAAGATGCTGCGATTGGCCGCAATACCGCTGAGCCTACGCAGCGCAACGCGGCTGGCTAGCGCCCCTCGGCTCAGCTGCCGCCTCAAGTCCACTCTCACGGTGGTGCCTGCGTCGTCCTCGGCGCCCCGTGAGGTTCCGACGCCGCTGCTCTTCCTCACCGCCTCGAAATGGACAAGCTCTCCTCCCGCACCGGAAGCCTACTCGGAATGGATCCAGCACTTTTCTGCGCAGGGCTACGAGTCTCTGTTGCTCGACTTGGATCCGGACCAGCCGGTGTCTGAGCTCAAGGACTCGGCCAAGCTCATGGAAGTCTTTGAGAAGGACGCCATCGACACGCTGCGGCAATCGGGAAAAACACCGCCGTTCCCACCAATCATGATCACTGGCGGGCCAGCGTCGCTGATTGCACAGACGTATGTCTCGTCTCGACCGCTCACGGCGCTTCAGCTCATCGACCCGCCCATCAACAACGCCTACCTGCGCAAAGACCGCCCGAAGCTACTGCCGACCGAGCTGGCCGAGTTCGACTTCGAGGCGACGTTCCCCGTGCGCGTGGTGTGGAGCGACACAGAGCTGCAGCGCCAGCAGCAGCAGGGCGTGCCGTGGTACGACGTGCATCGCATCGAGCACGAGCGAGAAGAGGATGCGGACGAGAGCCTCGATCGATACACATTTGCAGACACCAAGCAGGGCGCACTGGACACCCAGGAATGGCTAGAGGGAGAAGTCGGTGTGTAGGTATCGCACATGCCATCCGCCTCAAATGGGTAGCGACTGACGCCTCTTGGCACCGAATCTTCAACAGGTAGTCTCGGCGACCAAGCAACGTCCCCGCTTGAAGACGTAGCCTCGTCTTTTGAAACCGAATCTGATTCCGACTCCGCGGGCGAAGCAGCTGGAATGCGCAACGCCGATGCGTTGCCGGAATGGTTTGTTGCGGGCGAGTATACGCTGCAGCCCGGTTCGCGCAAGTACCCGCTCACGCTCGACGAGCGCGATCTGGCGGAAAAGTTCGTTCGCGGCTCGGGCCCGGGCGGGCAGGCGATCAACAAGCTGTCGACGAATGTGCAGCTCACGCACCTGCCCACGGGCACGAGGCTGACGTGCCAAGAAACACGATCGCGCGACCGCAACCGCGAGCTGGCGCGGCGACGCATGAGCCTCGTGCTGGAAAAGCTGGTGCGTGGCGAGTCGGGCGGCAGCCGCATCGACCGTACCATCGAAAAGGAACGCAGGAAGAAGAGCAACAAGAAGAAGAAGCAGAAGCGTCGTCAGAGGGACAAGCAGCTCGAGTCTCAGACTACGACTGCAGAGTGAACAATCCATCCCCCTTTCACCAGTATTACAGTCGATGACGGCGTCTCTATCGTGTGGGTCTGATGAACAAGAGTACGAATTTGCGGTGTGGAAAAGGCTACAAGGACAGTCAGAGGGTTGGATTAGAGCTTGCCCTCCTTGACATCGCGAGCGAAGGTCTTCATGACCTCTGCCAGCTTTTGGGTCTGCTCGATCGTCACGGCATTGTACAAGCTGGTACGAATACCGCCCACGGACCTATGACCCTTGACCTGGACAATATTGGCCTCTGCGCACCTCTTGACGAATGCATCCTCGAGCGCCTCATCCGGCTGGTTCTGACCCGGCTTGGAGATGCGGAAGGTGACGTTCATGCGGCTCCTTGCCGACGCCTGTCGAACGGTAGGCAAGAAGACACCCTCGCTCGCCTCGATGACGCCGTAGATCAGCGCAGCCTTTTGAGCGGACCGCTCCGTAGCACCGGCCACACCACCCTTGTTGCGCAGCAGATCGTCAAACACTAGCCCGGACGCATAGATGGCAAACATCGAAGGCGTGTTGTACAGCGAGCCGTTGTCGAGCATGTTCTTGTACACCAGCGTCGTCGGAATGCGCGGTCCACCATGCGCAACACCCGCATCAGGATCCACAATCAGGTCCTTGCGGACAATCGCCACGGTCACACCAGACGGACCGACGTTCTTCTGGGCGCCAAAGAACACGATCGCATGCGCAGCCACGTCGATCGGCCTCGACAGGATGTTGCTCGAACAGTCGGCGACGATCGGTACGGTCTTGCGGTAGTCTTCAGGCAGTTGGTCGAGTGGGAATCCCGGGTTCGGGTACTCGACACCGTCCACCGTCTCGTTGTCGCAGTAGTATAGCATGGCAGGCTTGCTTGCCACCGGGCTGAGCTTCCACTCGCTCACGGGCGGAATCGAGCCAAACTTGCCACCGGCCCCTTGGACCTTCCTTGCATCCACGGCAACATTCGCGTTGGCACCGAGTCGAGCGGCCTCTTTGACCGCCTTGGCCGTCCACGACCCGGTGACGGCGTAATCGCACGGCGGACCCTGGTTGCCGTTGGTGGCAAAGTAGTCGGGATTGTGCACGGCGTGGGCGGCGAGCAGGTTGAGCGCCGTGGCGGAGAACTGCTCCGTTCCACCGCCCTGGAGGAAAAGCACGGCATGCGTGTCGGGCACAGACATCAACGCGCGCAGATCGGCTTCCGTCTTGTCCATGAGCGCCTGGAACGTCTTGGAACGGTGCGAGAGCTCGGTGAGACCCATGCCTGTGCCTTGGTAGTCGAGGATACCCTGTGCAGCCTCGAGCAGCACCGACGTCGGTAGCGAGCTGGGGCCCGCTCCGAGGTTGATGGTCTGCTCGCGCTTGGTGATGTCCAGCGTGTTGGTCATGTTGGTCGTAGACGGTCTAAATGGCAGATGTGGTGGTGATGCAAGTGAGAAGATCGAGCCGAGTCGAAATATGCGACTCGAATGCACGGCGAATCGAGTCAGCGGCCGTTGCCCTTTTTGAAAGGCGCCTCGATTCGGATCTCGGCTTTCATGCAGGCGGCGCGCACGGCCGGACGTCGGCGTGAGAAAGCTGTCCAAGCAGCAGCATCTTCTCACGCCCTCCATAGCGACACAGCCAGCAGCTTGGCGCATTCACCATGAACGGCGAGCACGTAGAGACAGCCGCACAGCAGCAGCATCAAGATGGTGCCGGCGATGCAGCTGCTGCCGGTCCGTCCAACGCGAACCAGGTCAGCACCTCGTTCTTCCCGCCTCCTCCGCAGATCTACAAAAAGTTCACCAAGCGCAACCTGCGGTACCTGGATGCGCTCAACTCGCACAAGCTCGGCGAAGACGAGCCGAGCTGGGACTCTCTTACTCCCGAAGAGCGGGTGGACCGTCAGACGCGCATTCTCGAAAGTGCGGCTTCATCGTCGAAGCAAAGCGACGGCGAGGACGATGTTGAGATGGCTGCTGTGGATGGCGCGGCAGTAGAAGCCTCGAAATCGTCGCTTCCAGACTTTGATCTGAAGCGGACGCTCGAGCCGCCCAACATTGACTGGATCGAGGAGGACGGTGGCTACACGGTGTTTGGGCAGCTGTGGCCGATCCCGGATGTGACGCCAACGCTGGAGCAACTGGGCATCCCCGTGCTGTACCCGCTCGAAGGCACCGACCGCAAGGAGCTGCTGTTGATGCTTCTGCAGACGCTGCTGCAAACGTACCGAGAGATCACCGCCGACCTACTCAAACCTGCGCAACCGTACGACGTGTGGGTGGCGGCGGTGCCGGACCCGAACCTGCCGCCCGAACAGCAGCAGCAGCAGCTGGCGGGGAATCCCGGATTCTGGACGCAGTCGACCGAGGCCAAGGATCGGCTGAAGCACATGCAGAATGTGGTGGTCAACATGCAGTTTTTGATCAACGAGCTGCGGCCGGTACAGGCCAAAGAGACGCTCAAGCTCATCATGCAAATGCAGCTCGAGCGTCGCAAACAAGAGACGCAACTCATACGCGAGTAAGTGCCGCTCGATTCCGAGCCGACGAATCGATTATTGGTGCCATGACAACTGACAGTCTTTCTGCTTTTCCTGCGTGGATTTAGACGGTGTGCCAGCATGCGGTCACGAGTGCAGCAGCTGCGAACCATGCTCGCCCAGCATCCCAGCGACTGAACTGTTGCTGCGAGCGTCGACTGCCTAGATACCCCGGCCTCACAAGGCCAGCGACTGCCGTGTGAATGTCAACTCCTCATTCTTGCCACTCGCTCGCCAGACCGCAGCGCTGCTGAAATCCGTGTGATGTGAAGATGGAGGGAGCGGAAGTGCCGACCAGGGTGAAAGCCACAGGTGACCTTTCGGGGCTTCCGAGAATTGCAGATGAAGACGCGCCGTGCTGAAATTAAGCTTCAGGGCTCGCGCAGCCGCCGCGCCAAAGGAGAGCGTGAAGGCGGGCGCGGCTGGGCCGAGGTGAGGTGCAAAAGGGTCCTCGGGCAGATTCCGCACACCGCTCGCTGGTCCCGCTGCCTCGGCCCGCCTTTGGGGGATCGACGGCGTGCTTCTGGCAGACGCTTCGAGTCGATGCTCCGACGTCGGTCGATCCGCCGTCTTGATTACCATCATCTCAACGTCGGCCGAGCCCCAAATAGGAACAGCTCTGCTCGTTCGCCTTGCACAAAGGCTCCTGCCGGACACTACACTCGAGCGCTGCGGCTCCAGCCACCCCTCGGGACGCGCATGCCAAGCGGTTGCCGCGCCCACTCGCTCTCGTCCCACGACGCGCCTACGCCCACCTTTCATAACGCGCCCCGAGCAGTCAGCATCGCCTCCACGCAAAGCGTCTCCAGGCCACCCACCATCACGGTTCCATCGTCACCGCTGAGCTTCTGCTGGCCAGACAGCTTCCTCGCACTCGACTCGTCTACACGCTCTCTTGCCAGAACCTTTCTGCTGTGTCTACATACCAGCGCGCCATGAGCCGCTTACATCCCGATGCTCGCTCTGCTTCGGCAGTTCGCTCCTTCTCCGCAGGCTCGCACGCCTCGTCCAACAGCGATGCCTCTTACTCATCCAATCCGGACGCAGTCCACACGCCTTCCACCAGCCCGGCGCTTTCGGATCGCGGTGCGTTCTCGCTAGACGCTTCCTCATGGAACAAGCTGCCTCGCGCGTATCAGCCATCCTCTCCTACCTCGGCTCCACCCACCGACTCGAAACTGTCACCGCTCGAGCTTCTCGTCAAGAGAGGCAAGCAGGTCCAGCAAGACATCCTCGAGCCCAGCACGCACGACGCAAGCCCAGATCCCACGGCTCATCGCATCTATGAGCGTGCCTCGGCTCTCTCCCGCCGTACCTCTGTCCGCAGGCCCCCTGTCCAGCCGTCGCCCGACCCGGACGACTTTGACGACGCCCAGAGCATTCGCAGCGTCAACCTGCTCTCCGAGCCCGGCTCCAGCTTCTCCCGCAACCTGCGCATGTATGCATCCACTTCGCAGAATTCGCCTCCCACACCTTCCTCGTCCGGCACATCCTTTACCGTTCAACGCGGCTACAAAGCGACCTACGACGACCAGTACGATTCCTACAGCCCCATGCATGCCAGCGCCGACGAGCAGCCGCACTCGGCCCATCTGCTCAGCAACGCCTTCCGCAACTCGGTCGCCTCCGACATCTCGTTCAACTCCATCACCGGAGCCAGCCTCGATACCTCCCTCTCGCGCAGAGCATCCATCGACACTGTGCGCAGCTCCGAGTTCGGCGAGGACGGAAGGTGGGGCAGGGCGTGGGCCTCGCGCGCCGACGACGAAGAGAGCGCCTACGAAGAGAGCGTCTACGGCGATGAGCTCGACGACAACGCCGGACCTGGCTCAAGCCACCTGCCCTCGAGGGTGGCCGCGTATGACATTCAGCTGGACCCAGACCAGGGGCCGTTTGCGTCAAGCGGTGGCCTCTCGTCCGTTGCACAGCAGTGGAAGCTCAACCATGCGGCTCGTGATCCATCTCGAAGCGCGGGAGGCACGATGCGAGGCATGCATGCTTCGTCAACACCCGCGATTCGAGAGATGCCGAGCAAAGAAAAGGTCGTCAGCCTCACAAGATCCATTCCCCCGCCTAGACTGCTCGACCAGAATCAGGCCGGGCACTGGCAGCAACAGAGCGATCCAAGGCACAGCTTTGTCCCGCAAATCGAGTCTCACAATGGCGACGCAGAGTCGAGCCATCACGACGCACCGCAGCACGTGTACGATCGCACTCCGGTGGCCTCGGCAGATCGATACCTTGGTCATCGCTCCACGTCGTCGACTGCAACGATCACTGGCAACGATGCGCGCGAGAGCACCGGAAGCCCAGAGAGCGCACGTGTCTACGTGTACCCGCCCAGTCCTTCCGGGTCGGAGGCGTCGCGAGCGAGCGGCGTCCACGTGCACTCCAGCCGCGACCCGAACCACCGCAGCCAACAGCGCTTCTCGTCCATGCCCAACCCCGCCTCGGCGCGCATCGAGACCATGTCGGCCTCGTCCTCGCCCGAGTACCCGTCGCAGCAAGCGGGCTCGGGCGAGGTGAAACGCACGCCGCTCGCGCCGTCGGCGCTGCTGTCCAACCCGAGAGTCGCCTCGGCTGGTTCACTCGAGTCGCGTCGGCTCAAGCCTTCGGGCCATCCCGCGGGGCGTGCACCTCCGCCTCCACCGCCTGCTGCCGCCTGGAGCTCGCCGAGCATGGGTGGCGGCACTCCCAACGGCTACTCGGATCCCAACCAGTACTTCCAGGGCGTCGATCGGCCCATCATCGGGCGCAAGCGCGCGGAAGCGATTGCCCGCGCCGACGGGCGCGAGAGCATGGTGTCGGATCTGGACGTCGAAACGCTGCGTCTGGACGGCAGCAGCCGACGCGACAGCTCGAGCACCATCGGCAGTGTCATGACCTCGCGCATGTCGATCGGCAGCGTGGCGCACGACCCGCTGGCGCTGCAGTCGGACAACTGGCAAGAGCGCTCGCCTGTCCCACCGCAAGTGGCCTCCCCACGCACGCCCGGCGCGCCAAGTATGCAGGCCAAGGCTTCGCACGCGTCGTTCCGCTCGCTGCAGCCCGCTCAGGAGGCGTACAGCCCCGTAGCTGGTGCTGGCGGCCCCAGCCGGCCATCCATGCTGCGCAATGCCAAGTCGAGCAACGCGTTGGGATCGGTCGACATGCAGACCAGCGTGTCGGCACCGCCAGTTGGGCTGGGCGTAAGCGGCGTCAGTGCCAGTCAGCGACCGCGCACATCGCCTGCCGTCGACACCCGCACGGGCCCGTCGTCGGCGGAAGACTTTCTCTCGTCGGGCATCACGCACCACGAGCAAGGCGATCTTGCGCGTTCGGCGTTCTACTTTGAGCGATCGGCCAAGGTGGACGGCGGATGCGTGGTGGGCATGTGCATGTTTGGCATGGCGCTGCGCGAGGGGTGGGGCGCGCGCAAGGATCCGGCGAAAGGATTCACGTGGATCCAGAAGGCGGCGGCGCGCGCGGGCGAGATGATGGCCAACACGACGACGCCCAAGAGCGACGCCGAGCTGCGCGCGATCAAGAGCGAGCTCAAGCTGAGCGTCTACGAGCTGGGCAAGTGCTTCTGCTACGGCTGGGGCGTCAAGATGGACAAGCCCATGGCGCTCGAGTACTTTGAGCTGGCGGCTAAGCTGGGCGATGCGGATGCGCAGGCCGAGGCGGGCGCGCTGTACGCCGCAGGCAAGGGCTGCAAGAAGGACCTCAAGAAGGCCGCCACGTACTACCGCATGGCCGAGCAGGGCGGATACGATACCGTGGGCCTCAGCTGGATCCACAAGGACAAGTACAAGTAGACGAATGCATCTGCGCGTTTCTCCTCGCACAAACACGGTCGAGCAGTGAGAGAGCGTGTGAGGGGTTGTGGTATTGGTACAAATACAAGATGGTGAGGGTTGGATGTGTGTGCGTAGATGCTACTTCTTCTTTCTGTCGTTCCAGATCTGGCCTGGGCCTGCTTGCGGAGCTTGGAGCACGGGATCTCTGAACAGATGGTTGCACTTTGCGCACACGTAGAACAGAATCATTCTGTTGAGTATGCGCTTGCTCTGGTCCTGGAAGAGCACCGCTTCGCCGTGTCCGCAGCTCGGGCAGCTGAGGTCGTGTGTTCGACGCAGCGTCGGGTCCTTCATGAGGTTATCCACAATGCCCGGTTGTTCCTTGGTGACGGACATGAGATCGTTGCGGTAGACGAGCGACTCTCGCGACTCCTGCTGGTAGTTGCAGTTGCGACATGCGTACAGCAGCACATGGTTGGTTCGATCCACCTCGGGGTACAGCAAATTGTTGCACTCGGCACAAAAGTGGAGCGAAGACATGCTGCGCCACGACACTTGGCTGTCCTCGACGAAGGAACGAAGCGAAGACGCGGGGTATATACGCCACAGCAAAGGAGGTTGCGGTGGCGAGAGGGGATGACGATGCGTCGAGGTGAGGTGAGGTGGTCGTTGACGAGAAAGGGAGGGTCGTGGACGTCGTAAAGGATGTCGTGTCGAGCGACCAGAGTGCGCAGTTACGGGAGGGGTGTTGGATGCCTCGACGCAACTCGGACGCGGGTTCTTCGATTCGGCCGAATGGGAGTTGGGGCTTAGTGAAAAGCCGTCCAAATATCCGAAAGTGCGCTCGGGGCGGCCGATGCGCTCATCTGCCTCGCAAATAGCCGTATTCCCACCAGCAGTCTCCAAGCGCCGCCCCGCCGAGTCACTCGAGCCGCATCCCGGCACAGAACCCACTCCTGGCTTCCTTCCTTTCGTCCCCAACGTCCCCATCATACTCTCGATTCCCCCCTTTTCCCGCAGTGACAGCATGATTGCATTCGCAAGAACTGCTCTGCGTGCGCGTGCCTCTGCGGCTGCTTCTGCGGCTGCGGCTGCTCCTCGCCCAGCAGCGCTCGCACTCCGATGCAAGTCGACCAGTGTCTCGCACGACCCCATGACGGGCGAGGCGGCGGGCACCAAGCACCTCGACGCATCCTCGCTCGTCGTCACGCGCTCCAACGCGCCGCGCACTCCGCCGCCCTCGCAGAGCCTCGTGTTCGGAGCCAACTTTTCGGACCACATGCTCTCGGTGCCCTGGAACAGCGCCACGGGCTGGGACGCGCCCAAGATCCACCCGTACGCGCCGCTGCAGCTCGACCCGAGCGCGGTCATCTTCCACTATGCGCCGTCGCTCTTCGAGGGCATGAAGGCGTACAAGGACGTCAACGGCCAGACGCGCCTCTTCCGACCGGACATGAACATGAAGCGCATGAACACCTCGGCGGCGCGCATTGCGCTGCCCACGTTCGAGGGCGAACAGCTCATCACGCTCATCAAGAAGCTCGTCGCGCTCGACAAGGGATGGATCCCGTCCGAGCCCGGGCACTCGCTCTACATCCGTCCGGCGCTGATCGGGACCGAGGCGGCGCTCGGTGTGCACCCGACCAAGGACGCGCTGCTGTTCGTCATCTGCTCGCCCGTCGGGCCGTACTACAAGACAGGCTTCAAGCCGGTGGCGCTCGAGGCGGACCCGAACAAGGTGCGTGCCTGGCCGGGCGGAACGGGCCAGTACAAGCTCGGCGGCAACTATGCGCCGGGCATCCTGCCGCAGCTCGAGGCGGCCAAGCGCGGCTACCAGCAGAACCTGTGGCTGTTTGGCGAAGAGCATCTGCTCACCGAGGTGGGCACCATGAACCTTTTCGTGGCGCTTAAGAAGGGCGATGGCGTCGAGCTGGTTACGCCGCCGCTGAACGGCATGATTCTTCCCGGTGTCACGAGGGACAGCATCCTGCACATCGCACACGACCACGTCGAGGGCAAGTATCCGCTCGACAGCCTGCCCAAGAACCTCAAGGTGACCGAGCGCGAGATCTCGATCCACGAGCTGATTCAGGCAGAGAAGAGCGGCGAACTCATCGAGATGTTCGGCGCGGGTACCGCCGCTGTCGTGAGCCCCGTGGACAGGGTCGGATACATGGGCAAGGACATCCATATTCCGGCAGGCGATGGCATTGGACCGATCGCAAAGGCCATGCTCGGGAGGATCACCGACATCCAGCTCGGAAAAGTCGACCATCCCTGGAGCGTGGTTGTGGAGGATCTCTAGTCGCATCCATGTGGTCCCCATTCAATATAGTGTAGACGTTGGCCGTATATGCAGAGTGTGACCATGGCAATGGCGAGTGGCAATCGTGTGTCATGGTCAGGATGCACGCGCGTGTGTGTATCAAAGGCTTCGTGAGCGGCGTTAGGGTACAGGACGGGGGTGTGGCTACGAGGTGTCCATTGTCTCCTCGGCGGCGCCTGCTGGTGGAGCGACCTCTGGCACGGGTGCGTGGTTTCCGATCTCGAGCACATCTGTCTCACCAAAAGCACGTCAGTTTCCTGTGTCTCTCCGATGCTATGGGGACAATGCGTGGGGTTTGGGGCAACGTACCTTGTTTTCGGATCATATCGTAGATCTGTTCCTTGGTCCAGGCCGAGGTGCCCTTGGGGAACTTGTACTTCTGTTCCTTCTGCACGCGCTCGTTGGGCGTCTCGTAGTTGCGCAGGTACTCTGTCTTGTTCTTCTCGATGATGCACACGTCGACGTTGCTGCCCGAGCCGAGGTCGTTGAAGATACCGGAGCTAATCGCAGCTGCAACGAGCTGCACAGCATCCGCGCGCTCCATATCCTTTGTCCACCCCGACTCGAACACGGCCATTGCTGCGAGACTTCCGGAGCCCATGGTGACGTAGGGAAGCTTGTCCGTCGATCCGTGCGGGGCGACGGTGAAGAGGTGTGGACCCGTGGCGTCGTATCCGCCGAGCACGAGCGCGGCACCAATGTGGCCCTGGTACTGGAAGAGGCGCTGCTTGAGCATGGTCATCGCCGTCACCACGCGCGGCTGGCGTCCCGTGTTGAGCTCGTGCAGCTGCATGTTGCTCGAGATGAGCTGCGTGACAAACTCGGTATCCGCCGCCGTGCCCGCACCACAGCAGCGGATGTTGTCCGAGATGTAGTGGATCTTTTCGCAGTTCTTATCCGCCACGATGGGGCCTTCGGTGGCACGTGTATCGGCACCGAGGACGACGCCGTCCTTGAAGATGCATCCGACAATCGTCGTGCCCGTCGACGTGGCGGTGAATCCTCCGAGCCCCTGCGCGGAGAGGAAGGTGTTGCGCGAGTAGTTGGAGAAGTCGAATCCGGAGCTGGAGCCGATGCCCGCAGAGGTGTGTGCTGTTGCCGCCGCCATTCTCGACAGTTGGATGCGCAGGATGGTGGAAGGGTGGGGGTGGTGGTGTTGGTGAGGATGATCAGTGCGGCAAGGATGGGCGCAGTTGGGAATTGGCAATGTGGAGTGATCGATCGCTCCGCGCTCGTTACGAAGCCCCGTGCGGCCGCTGCGCCCCAAAGCAACACACGCGTCCAGGCCACGACATCAACACGCAGGCTCTAACATTCGTTCCATCCTGCGACCCTCCACTTGAAGCCTGCAAAGCGCAGTCTGACAGCTTCCTGCTCTCCTCACTTCTTGCCAACGTTTCTCGTTGGAAAGCGCCATCGCAACCATGTCGACACCGTTCTACACCCCGCTCGCATCGGTATTGCCCTCTTTCGAAGGAGCCACGCTGCTCATTCCAGCAGTTTCGATCGGGTCGGTTCCACAGCTTGCAGTCGACCTGCTGCTGCACAGCGCCGACTTGGGACTTGCCAAGGTGGGCCGCATCGATCCGTCGTTCTGCTTCCCCTTTGCTGGTCCCTCGGACGCGCGCGATGCAGCAGCAGACGACATCACCACCGCTCTCGAAGGTAAGCTTTCCCACACTCTGTCTGTAGTGTCCAGGGCTGTTGGGCTGACGCTTTGGTTTCGCAGTGTTTGCCAACGAGGCGGGGTTGGTGGTGATCCAGCAGCGTGCGCCCGTGTACAAGTCGCGCGGCACAGAGTACATCACCGCACTGACAAAGTGGATCTCGCAAGCAGGCTTCAAGCAGACGCTGTGGATCTCGTCCATCGATGCAGCCGCACGCACCGATGCCGAATTCGAAACGCCCATCCTCTCCATCCCCCCCGCAAACCCGCAAACACCCCTCATGAAGGCCCTCGCCACGTTTCCCGTCTTCGCACCAGCTGGCGAAACGATTCCCGTCATTCCAGGCTCGCTTTTGACCCGAAAACTCCTTCAACTCGATGCGGAACTCAATCTCGGCACGCTGCTCTACTTTGCGGCCGAAGGAGATACACGACCCGATGCAAACTCGCTTGCAACCACCCTCCTCTCGCTCCTTTCCCTCCCCTCATCTGCACCGCTGCAAGAACCCGCTTCATGGTCAGCCCTCTTTGGTGCACCACCCAACTCATCTCTCTACACCTAGAGCCCTTTCTGAACCAGAATTCAATTCGCCTATATACATGCGTGTGCGCGCGCGCTTAGTTGGTCGAGGCGAGCAGTCGTTCCAGCGCCTTTTCGGTGCGATAGTTGGACTTCTCCAGCGCATTGATCACGGCCTGACGCGTAAAGCCCATACCGCACAGCTGCTTGACCGGCCCAGCGTCGTCGGGAAGCGCACCGGTGTAGTCCTCGGCCTCGTCCGTCGCCGTGCGTGCGCTCGAGCGCGGAGGCACCGCGGGCGGAGCGTTGAAACCAGGAGGAGGGCCAGGCGGCGGCGCATACGTCCCCTCCGCCGCCGTCGGTGAGCTTACACCGGCACCGGCAGAGGTGCTCGCGGTCGATGCGGGAATCGACACCGCAGGCGCAGCTGTGCTGGCCGCCGGGTCGAACGCATCATCAAAGCTGAAGCCAGACGCAGTGTTGGACGTCGTCCCAGTCTGGGTCGCAACTGCAGCAGCAGCAGCAGGAGCGGCGGCGGTGGCGGTGGAAGTGGGAGCGCTGTCGAACGCCGCATCGAAATCGTCAAACGTATCCTTCTGACCTCCCGTTGGGGCGGCAGGAACGGCTCGAGTGGTTGCCGTGCCCGCACCCGCACCCGCAGCACCCGCAGCACCCGTGCTGAACGACGGCACAAAGTCAAAGTCGTTGTCAAACGCGTCGTCGAAGCCGCTCTGTGGCACTGCACCTGCCGCGCCTGTGCCGGCAGCTGCGGCATTCGGAACCGCCTCGGACGGACCGAGATCCTCGAAGGCCGAGTCAAAGTCGTCGAACCCACTGCCGCTGCCGCTATCCCCATGCGTCGGGTGCGGCTTCGCGCCCGCGCCAAAGTCGTCCATGCCGAACGGATTCGTCGACGCCTCCACCGGCTTGACAGGCGCCGCCGTACCGCTCGTCGGCTCGGCAGCTAGCACCGTCGGCGCCGCGGCAGGCGAGGCAGCCGAGAGCGCCGTCCCGCTGCGCACGGGTGCGGGCGGCGGCGCACGCCTTGTCTTGATCGAAGAGCTCGGGCTTACCGACGGCTCCACGCCTGCAGCCTTGGGGTTTTGCGCAGCCATGAGTTGGCTGAGCGGCACGTCGTCCGTCGGCGACGACACCTCGGGCTGCACATCCGCAGTGCCTCGCTCGCCCACCGTCAGAGCGCCCGCACCAGCAGCGAGAGCTGCAACACCCAGCCCACCCGCCGCAGCCGCAGCAGCCGGAGTCTGTTCGACTTCCGAAGCGGCTTCGGCGGGGGTGGCGGGGGCTCCGGTCTCCTGGCGGCTTACGGGCGCGATCGACGTCGTCGACGCAGTGCGCTCGCCCGCTACAGATCCGATCGCCGAAGGGTCGACGGGAGCCGACGAGGCAGGAGTTACGACACTGGCAGCGGTAACGTCCTCCAGTCCGCCTGGCACCGTGCGTTCCTCGTGCTTGGGCTCGACCGCAGCCGCCGCGCCAACATCCTGCGTCGAATCGTCGATGTCGGGGAAGCGTTCGGCAGCACCGGCCGTGTCGTGGCCCTTGTAGCCGCTGACGTCCTCGGGCCCGTCGTCGTCGTCGTCGGAGCTGTCTTCGTCCGCGTCCGGCTC